TACTACTGACTTCTATTGCTTTATTGAAAGGAGCAGTTAATGTTTAATTGTTTGATGAATCTTACATGTCTCTATTTGTTTACCTGAGTAACCAATTTGAAGATATCAATATGTAATACAACAACCATTGTTAATTTCCTATCACCTTGTCTGAAATTCTGTATTGCCTGTATTGTTTTGTGTTATTTTGTAAATGTATGCGTGTTTGTTAATATGTTTTTGTTCTTTTATCTTTAAAATAAGAAAAAAAAACAATAATAGGGATTGAACCCACACATGTTCTATCACTGAGATACATCTGCAGCCCTTTTTTCTTTTTTAATTTCAGGACAGGGTCTCACTAAGTTGCCCAGCCTGGCCTCCACCTTGGTAATCTTCCTGTCTCAGCTTCTTGAGTAGCTAGGATTATAGGTGTATTAGTCATTTTTCTCATTGCTGAGACAAAATACCTGATACACAAAGTTAAAGGAGGAAATTTTATTTAGCTCACAGTTTATAGAGGTTTCAAATTCATAGTTGGCTGGCTCTAAGGCAGGGTGGAATAGCAGAGGAGCATCACAGAAGAGAAACAGTTCATGGCAGGCAGAAGACAGCCAAAACAAGCAAGCAACCAACTATAAGTAATTTAGCAAGCCTCTTTCTGACCCTTATATTGTGTCCAGGCTACCCACCCCTTAGGATGCATAGCCCTCACACCCTTAATCCTGGCATTGCATCATGAATCAATCTCATACTCTAGATCCAGTCACCTCTGAAAAAGCCCCACTTATGACTGTGTAGGGCTTTAGGGGGACTTTTAGACACAAACTATAACGAAAGGCATAAACTGTTGTGTCCAGTCTGTATATCTAATTCTTATTTCTTTTTTTCATTAACATTATACAGACTTTTCCATGCCAATAAATGCTTATACTTGCTTATAGCCTAGGGCTGCAGATGTATCTCAGTGACAGAACATGTGTGGGTTCAATCCCTATTATTGTTTTTCTTCTTATTTCAAACACTTAGGAGAATGACTAGAGTTCTTTTGTGTAGACCTACTTGTAAAGAGAGGGGATGCTAAGAGTTGGTCAAAACTGCTTGAACAGAAAACTACTGGGTTTGAGGGAATTTTTTGTGTTTTTCTGCTTCTCTTTCTTGCTTTTAACAGTGTATGTCTGCTGGATAAACACATTTCCCATAATCAAAAGAGCATTTGATGGCGATTGAATGCATTTGATAATTGAAACCCTTAGATTTATCTATTTCCCCTTGGCAGGTAAATACACTCAACAAAGAAATACAATCAGAGTTCATGGAAATAATGAATGAAATCTGGGCTAATGATCAGATCCGAAGTGCCGTCCTTATATCCTCAAAGCCAGGCTGCTTTGTCGCAGGTGCTGATATCAAGTAAGTTAGAAAACTTGAAGTCACCTTGGACCTCGATTAGGCCTAACAATTCCTCTATTGAAAAGGAGGTAGAAGTAAATTCTCTGAAAGTTTTTTTAAGTGATTTTCATGACTATAAAAAATTAGAAGGGCTTGTTAAAAGAGCAGTGCCTCTTTTTCACCCATCCGACCAGCAGACATTTAAAAGTTTGAAAATACGTGGCAACGAGGACTTGGAGAAAGAAGTAAGTGACTACGTTACTAGTGGGAATGCCAGTTGGTGTGGCCACTTTGGAGAGCAATCTGGCAGCATTTAGGCAAATTGAAAATAACACCTGTGATCCAGGGATGCACCCTGTTTGAATTGTGTATGCTGAGGAAATCTTACCCTTTCTTCATAAGGACCAGTGCATGAGGGTATTCAGTCCTGTGTAGTTTAAAATAATAAGAATTTGAAACAAGTTAAATAGGGCTGGGAATATAGCTTAGTGGCATAAGCACCTGCCTGGCAAGCGCAGGTCCTGAGTTTGATTTCTGGTACAAAAAAAAAAAAAAAAAGAAACAAGTTAAATATAAGGTAGGGAAATATTTGAGATACTACAAAGTAGTCAAAAGGAATTAATTAGATCCAAAACATGATATTAGAACTCAGTGACATAATGTTAAGGGGTATTTTTTGTTTTCTTTTTGAGGATTTTTTGGTTTATTTGTTTGTTTATTTATTTGTTTTCCAGTATCAAAGATTGAACCCAGGACCTTTGCACTGAGCTATATACTGTTCCCTTTTTTATTTTGAGATAGGATATCCCTAATTTGCCAGGATACCAAACTGGTCTCAAACTTGAGATCCTCTTGCCTCAGCCTGCCAGAGTGCTGGAATTACAGGTGTGCACCACCACACCTGGCTTGTGATATTAAGTTTTCCAAAAGCAAGTTGTAGAATGTTTCATATAGTATACAGTTTATATAAATGTCTTTAAACTATACATAAAGTAATTCTTTGTATTATTTCTGGACACAAGTTTAGAGTTGGTCTGATATACTACAAATACGAAAATGATTGCTTCAGGGAAAGTGAAGTAGGTGGTAGGCCTTGAGCTTACTAAACAAAACTTTGCAGATGCAGCCAGTAATTTTTTTCACTTTTTAAAATGCAAAAATGTATGATTTTATGATTTGTTTACAATTTTTTAAATGTGTGCATAAGGAAGGGAAATATATTTCAGTGTTAATTTAATGGGTTACATTAACAGTTGTTAATTCTGTCAAAGTATGGGTATGTATTACATTATCGTTTATATTTTAAGCAATGGTAGCCAGGATTGTAGGTTAGTAATTTGAACTTAAAGAGTTTATGTATTTTTAAGCCGTGCTTCACAACATGTACCTTTTTCTTGTGTATTTATAATAGAATTTATAAGTGTTGTGTTTAATGCTGATAGAAAAAGCACAATTATCTGTAGCACAATTTTTTCTAGCTCAGTTATTTAAACCAGTAAGAAACTGACATACCTGGAAGTAGCAACCTGTATTCATAAGAAAACATTTGTAACTCCTGTAAGGCCAGCTGAGCAACTCCCAGTGAGTCCAGCCACAGGAAAATACTACTTATCCTTCATCAAAGTACAAAATCATCCTCTTAAGTGTGTTCAGAAACAAAGTAGCAAATGAAACAAAGTATATGAAGTACAATGTCATTGTGCCAGACTTTTGTTTTTTTAATCATTAAGGGTTCTATTTAAACATTTTAATTCTTCTAGACACCTTGGCAGCTTGCTTTCTCTCTGTCTCTCTGTCTCTGTCTCTGTGTCTCTCCCTCTCTCTCTCTCTCTCTCTCTCTCTCTCTCGTGTCTCTCTCGTGTCTCTCTCGTGTCTCTCTCTCTCTCTCTTTCCTTTCTTCCTGGCTGTCATTTTGATTGCTGTTTAATCTAATAGTGAAAAAATTTACCAGATAATGTTTCTATGTACAGAGCTTTGTGATCAAATGATTTGTTGTAGAAGCAAAAATAAATTATACAATTTCATGTTATATTTGAAGACTCATTACCAAACATAAGTATATGATGGGATAAGTATATAGTGGACTAAGTACTGAACAATGTAGCCTGTGGTTTTATGTTTCCTCTTTTCTCTGTTCTCCACTTTTGTGGCTATTTCAGCATGTTAGCAGCATGTAAAACCTCTCAAGAAGCAACCAGAATATCACAGGAAGCACAGAGAATGTTTGAAAAACTTGAAAAGTCCACAAAGCCTATTGTAGCTGCCATCAATGGATCCTGCTTGGGAGGAGGACTTGAGGTAAAAAAATGTTCCAGTCATTCAGTCGCTGCCCCATTCATGGGTGGGATTTGCCAGCCATAAACCCACAGACTACTGTTGTACGTGAAGATGTTTCCAGAGGAGAATCGGATTTCTTTGTAGCTCTTAAACTTCTGAGTGTTTTAATCCTTAACTGTATGATAGAGCAAGTGACACAGAGTGCGTACACCAAGGTGTGATGGTTTCATTTATAAATTGAGAAGCTTTGAACTGGTTCTCTAAACACCTGGTTCAGGTTTGCAGGATAAAATTCAGAAGTGGGCTCCATTTTCATCTTAAGTCTGGTGGAGTCATGCAAAGCATAATACAGGATATGTTTGAGTTTCTTGTGAGTAGCAAAGATGTAAATAATAAGATTGGAAAAAGCAGATTCTTACTAGACTAGAACATATAGAAAAGAAGGAAGGGGAAAAAAAAAAAAAGCATTTATTGAGTTGACTCTCACGCTGAGCTCTGTGCTGGACACTTCTGTTTGCTAATGAAGGAAGCCTAGATCTGGTCCTAAAAGGTGGCCACAACGTGACTAACCAGAAAATGACTGAAAAGCGTATGGTACAGTATGTGCAAAGCAAGGAGTAGCAGTGCCTGCTAGGAGGCTGTAAGGTAGACTTGCTTGACTAGAGAAGAAGCTCTCTGTAGGGCTCAGAGTTCTTTACTCAAGTCCATATAAGATTATGTGTTCACTGGTCTATGGAGAGAGCCCATGGCCTTCCACAGATGTTTAAAGGGGACCTGCAACCCAAAAAGATTAATAAAATAGGGGAAGAGTCCTTTTAGAGAGGCCGAAAGGGTAAATTCCAAAAAGCACTGGGTGCTAGGGTAAGAAACTTCAGTCTGTTCTGTGGGCACATTTCTGTGCTGTAAGTCATCCTTAGACAATCACAGGTCCGAAGATGTTACGAAGCTTTATTTTCTAAAGTTCTCATTCTTTGATTTGTTTGAAGCTTGCCATTTCATGCCAATACAGAATAGCAACAAAGGACAGAAAAACAGTATTAGGCGTCCCTGAAGTCTTGCTGGGAATCTTACCAGGAGCAGGAGGCACTCAAAGGCTGCCCAAAATGGTGAGTTAAGCTCCTCCTCCCCATGTCTCCCCCACCCCATGAACTTAGAACCTTGACACAGAAATGTCCCTTAGATCTATTTCCTATTGTACAAAACACAGAATACAGACATTCATTGCAGACTTTGGAAACCACATAAAATATGAATATGTAGGATTAGTGACACATATTTATTCCCAAGACACTGTTTACATTCCACAAAGTCATTGATCCAGATCCTTTGTTAATCTCTGAAGAAGGGTACAGATAAATAAGACACATGTCTTGCTTTTCTAGAGCTTTTTGGTTTAATTTGTTTCTTCCTGTGCAACACCATCATAGTTTTTTCAAAAGCCTAGGTGTGTATGTCATGGTAAGTAAGAGGCAGGCCTTTTCCCATTCTCTGATTGAGACCATCTCCTTGCTGTCCTCTGTAGGACAAAAAGAGATGCATTAGGCTTTTGCAACTTGAAGGAGAGGAAAAGAAGAGTCAGAAATGGAGGCTGCAGAGCAGCCTTACTGTCGAGTGGAGGCCCACTGACCCTCCTGGATTCCCCAACAAAAGGAAGACTCAGCAGAAATGCTCTTAGCAGAGAAATTCATATAAACTGAGCACCAAAAGAAAGAAAGAAAGAAAGATTAATGGTTTTAGTTTTCAAATAATAAATAATGTATATTCCTTCATAGGACTATCAGGAAGATTTATTGAGACCATGAATAAATACATATGTGTATACAAAATATTTGCAGAGTTTCTTTTTCTTTTTTTTTTAACTGTCATTGTTATTTGAACATTGCTAGAAGTTTCTTTTTCCCCCCAGTCCCAGCGATTGAACCCATGGACTCACACATGCTGGGCAAGTTCTCAAGCACTGAACTACATACTCCAGCCATATTTTTTTAAATGTTATTTCAAGAGAGGGTCTCTAAAATTGTTCAGGCTGACCTCAAATTTAAGATTCTCTTGTGTCATCCTCCCAAATAGCTGGGATTATAAGACATGTACCACCACACCCTATTCTAGAAGTCATTTTTCTAGTACCCCACATAAGGAGCCCCAGTCAAATTCTTGCTTGCTTGCTTTTTTTTTTTTTTTTTTTTTTTTTGAGACAGTCTCACTATGTAGTTCATAGTCTCACTTTGAATTCACCATGTAGCCCATGCTGGCCTCAAACTCATGGTAGTCCTCCTGCCTTAGCTTCTTGAGTGCTGGAATTATAGGCATACACCACCACACCCTGCCCAGATTCTATTTTGAGCCTAAAATTCTTTCTCAAAACTGTCAAACCTAAGCTGGACATGGTGGCACATGCCTGTAATCCCAGCACTCAGGAGGCTGAGGCAGGAGGATTGTTGTGAGTTCAAGGCCAGCCTGAGCTACAAAGTGAGCTCAAGGCCATCCTAAACTGCATAGCAAGACCCTGTCTCAAAAAAAAAGGACTGTCAAACCTATCAGATTTCTCAAGAGTCTGTGCTATATAATTCCAGTATAGGAATTTTAAAATATTATAAAATTGATAAAAAAAGAAGCTCAGAATGACATAAATGCACAATTTTAGGAAGCGTGAAATTAATTCTCCTCCTTATCAATTCCGTAAGACAGAAATCCTACATACTGAACTAAAATAAGAGATAATATTTTTGCTTTAGCTGGAGGTGATCCCAAACCTAATCACAAAGCTAAGTGTGTATCAGTATATAAAATTTAACTTAATGCTGTGTAGCATAAAAATGTTGGGGTTTTTTTCTTATTTTAATATTTGCTAACTTAAGGCTTTTTAAGTTTTAACTGTCACTCTCCTTTTCCCTCCCTGTTCTGACTCTTTCTTGATGTTAGCTGGGTATACCTGCTGCCTTTGACGTAATGCTGACTGGTAGAAGCATTCGTGCAGACAGAGCAAAGAAAATGGGACTGGTGGACCAATTGGTGGAACCGCTGGGTAAGTGTTAGCATGTCTCAGACTTAGGCCTTATAACTTATTTTCTGAAAGAGTTAATGTCTTAAACAATGGTTAAAGTGAAACTCAAGATTTTGAGGAGTGAAGTTACGGAATCATTTTCAGTATCATACTGGTTTCTATTCAACTTTGTAACTTGGACATTAAGAGTGTAGAACTCAAGTCATTTTTTTATTTTTAAATTATCTGTATGATTATCTGTATTAAAACCCTCCTTCAGTTTTTTGTGTTTTTATAATGTAACTTGTGTGTGAATATTAACAATACCCACTGATTTGTTGCTTTCCCCATACAATTTCTGTTAGAAATAAAAACCAATACTATGGATTATATGTTTTTCATGTTCTTATATTTTTTTAAAAATCAGCATTGAAATGCTATTTTCATAATAATTTTATAAACTTTAATGTACAATTTGAATTTTTCCAACTGTATGTAGCTGTGTGCACACTGCAGTTAAAAGATTGGCCATTGCTAGTATATAGTTTTTGTGTCTTAGCACAATGCTTTTGAATGTATCTGTGCTGTTACATGAGTGTCGCTGAGTGTTACTCCATTGTGTAACACTCGCTGTCTGCTGTAGTGTGCTCATCCATTCACTCAGTGATCGACATTTGAGTTTTTTCCTATTTGGGCCTATTCTGAATAAAGCCTCTATGAACATGGATCTGTAAGTCTTTATTCTTCATAAAGTCTTTGGATATTTGTTTCATTTCTGTTGGATAAACACTGAGGAGTAGATTTTCTGGCCCATATGATTGATGTGTTCAGCTTTTAAGAAACTATCAGACCAGCAGCATACAAGTGTTCTAATTTCTGGGCCAGGGATATAGCTCAGCAGCACAGCACCTGCCTGGTAAGTGCAAGGGCGTGAATTCGATTCCCATGAATTCTAATTTCCAACCACTTTACATGGCTAGTCTCTTTTGTGGTAGTAGGGATTAGACCCGGGGCTCTCTACCACTGAGCTACATCTCCAGCCCTATGTGATGTTGTGTTGTGTTATGTTATGTTACGTTATACATGGTCTCACTAAATTGCTCAGATGGTACTTGAACTTGTAATCTTCCTACCTCAGCCTCCCCAGGTTCTGAGATTACAGGCATGTACTACTGCACTCAGCTGGTCAGTCTTTAGACAGTCTAATAAGAGTATTGTAACACTTAATTGTTCCTTTACATTTTATATTCATGTTGAGTATCTTTCATATGTTTATTTGCTCTTTATATGTCTTCTTTGGTAAAGTGTCTGTTCAGATCTTTTTTGCCCATTTCATTTGATTTTTTCTTATTACCAAGGTTTCAGAATTCTTTATATATCAGGATACAAGTTCTTTATCAAATATGTGATATGCAACAATTTTCTCTAACTTAAGAGTACCGTGACTTTCTCCTATACTTTCTTCGGGAGGTTTTCTAGTTTTGACTCTTACATTTTGGCCTGCTCTCCATTGCAAGTTAATGTTTGTATGTGGTTTGAAGTAATGATTGAGAGTCTTTTTTTGCTTTTTGCATATAAATATCCAAATGTTCTGGTACTATTTGCTGAGAAGATGACTCTTTCCTCAGTGAAATACCTTGGCACCTTGGTCAAAAATCAGTTGATCTTGTGTGTTTAGATCAATAATCTGGATTTCCTAGCCACTATCACATTGTCTTCATTATTGTATTTTTTATAGTAAATTGTGAAATCAGACATTATAAGACCTCAACTTGGGTTTCTTCCACAATTATTTTGGGTATAATAGTTTCTTTGTGTTCACATATACATTTTATAATCATCTTGTTCATATCTACAAAACTGTTAGGGCAATTGATTGGACTTGCATTGAAATTTATCAATTTAGGGAGAGCTGACATCTTTAAAAGTCATTTCATCAAAATCATCTGTTTATTGAAGTCTTGAATTTCTCAGCATTGTTTTATACCTCTGGATGAACAGGTTTGTTTGTATGTTTTTGAGACAGGGTCTCGCTGTGTAGCCCAGGCTGTCCTAAAACTCAAAGCAATCTTCCTGCCTCGGCCTCTGAGTGCTGGAATTACAGGCGTGCCCCACCACGCTTGGCTGATGAACAGCTCTTGAACGCATTTTTCATTTGGTTTCGTTTGGTTTCATTTGGTTTGTTTTGGTTTGGTTTGGTTTTTTTGAGATAGGATCTCACCATGTAACCCAGGCTGGCCTCATAATTCACGGCGATCCTCCTGCCTCAGCCTCTCAGTTGCTGGAATTATAGGCATGCACCACCATACCTGGCTTTGAACACATTTTTTAAATTTATACTTAGATATTTGATACTTTTAAGTCATTTTGTACAGTTTTTGTTGTGGCTTGTAACACCGGAGTTTGAACCTAGGGCATCCTGCATGTTAACTTTGTACTGTATGACTGAGTTATGCTCCCACCTTTTGACCAAGGTGCCAAGGTATTTCACCGAGGAAAGACTCATACTCTATGACTGAGTTAGGCTTACCTTAAAAAAAGTTAAGCTTAAGTTAAGCTTTTTTTACTTTCATTTCCCATTAATATATGTAGAAATGCAGTTGATTTTTGGACATAGATCTTACATCCTGTTATTTTGCAGAAATTTCTTAGTTTTGCTTTGACTTTGGGTTTTTTTTGGAGGGGTGCTTTTCTAAGGATTTTCTTTATGTTATCTGTACATAGTTTGTCTTCTTCCTTTACAGTCTCAATGGTATTTATTTCTTGACTTACCACAGTGGCTAAGACCTTTGTACAATACTGAGTAGAAATGGTGAAAGCAGCTACTAACTTGTTATGAATTTTAGGTGGAAATGTTACCATTAGGTACAATGTTAGCTATACTGTAGGTTTTTCATATATGCTCTTTATCTCGTTGAAGAAGCTCTGTTTTTATGATTTATTAGGAATGCGTATTAAATTTTACCTTTTCTCTTTTCTCTCATGTGCCACCATGACCAGCTGACTCCCTTATTTTTTGAGACAAAATCTGACTAAGTTGCCCAGGCTGGGCTCAAACTTACAATCCTCCTACCTCAGGCTCCCAGAGTGCACGCTTACCTTGTTTTAATACTTTTGTATCAAGTAATGATGTCTTTTTTTGTTTTGTTTTTTGAGACACGGTTTTGCTATGTAGTTTAGGCTGGCCTTGAATTTACTTTGTAGCCCAGGTGGGCCTTGAACTTGCAGCAATCCTCCTGCCTCAGCCTCCCAAGTGCTGGGATTGCAAATGTGTGCCACCAAGCCTGGTGTTCTCTTTCATTTCTGATGTTCATGATTTACTAGGTGATTATGGCCTGTAGTCACATTTATAAAATATCTTCAGAGCAGCACCTAGATGATCTAGCCAAGTTGATGCATTCAGAGACTAACACAGTCCACCCGCTTTCAGTCTGACACCCATGAGCATCTCAGACTCTACTTAATCCCCAAGTAGACAGTAGCAGTCTGTTTTACTTTCACTTAACGTAATGCAGCCGTCCTGAATACAACCAGAATAACACAAAACTTGCAGCCTTTGGTGAAATTCACTCTTCCGTAATATTCCGTAATGTAAATGCTGTGATAATAAAGTTAACGGTTAATGTGTTTTAGATGATAAGGAGATAGAGAAGAAAACACAAATATTTGGTTAATTACACACAAACATGCATAACAAAATAATATAACCAGTACAGTAAGTATTTCTGTCTAATGCTCAGCTGATTTAGACAGAGGGCTGAGCTGTCAAGTGTCAGAGTAGCCAATTAAAGGAACAACCCAAAATGAAAATAACTGACACCTTTAATGGTAATCACCTCCCTCTGGCATTGTGGCACAGGCTTAGAACCCCAGCTCTCTGAGAGGCTGAGGCAAGAAGTTCAAACCCAGCCTGGGCAACTTAATGACTTAAAGAGACCCTGTATCGAAGTACAAAGTAAAAAGGGCTGGGGATATAGCTCAGTGCAAAAGCCTTGGGTTCTATCCCCAGTACCACGAAAAGAAAAAAAAAAAGATAACTACAGTACTTCAGTATTTTGTGTAGAAGGTTAAACCTGGAGGAAGCACTGACTCCTCCTCCTGGTTCCATTTTCCTGTAGGGGGTGGGGCTCAAGGGCCTACACATAAGTGGACATCATCTCACTGTTGAAGAAGCCATGCTCCAAAGCCTCATAGCTTTCTGGACCATGGGAGAAGGGTCAGTTGGGAGTGGGGAAAGTGTCTTTTGTACTACCTTCCTCCTTTAATAGGAAGGCCCTGACCTTTAGCCCCATGTAAAGAGACCTAGCCCCTGGCTGGGCTAGGAGTGGAATAGTTGCGAGAGCACAGGCAGCCCAGGAGACTGGAATCCTTGACTGTTCTTCCCTTAGAGACTGAGACATGCTGGCTGCACACCAAGTGTGCTGTGGGAAGGGCAGTATTTCTCCTACCCATGTCCTCCTCACTTTGCCCTCAGGAAGTACCTCAGCTGGTCATGGTTCTTTGCCTAGCAAGGAGACCTTCAGTGATGAAAGGTCTGGGCCAGTAGCAGTCCTGTGTGGAGCTGACTGTTGTAGATTTCCACTGACTAATCATGGGACATGCTAGTACAGAATCCTGGACCCATAAATCCTGTGTATTAGAAGTTGATTTAGGGGCTGGGGATTTAGCTTAGTGGCACAGCACCTGCCTGGCAAGTACAAGGTCGTGAGTTCGATTCCCGGTACCAGAAAAAAAACAAACAAAAAAAAAAGAAGTTGATTTAAATACAGAGTCCTGCAGGGCCTTGATGTAGCCCTGCAAAATACCACCACTTAGGTGGCACTGTAACTTAGTCTTCAAAAGTCGGTGCCACCATCCTGTCAAGCCAGGTCTTCATGGTGGTAGGGAGCATTGTAGAACCTGTGCGTTTCCTGGGCAGAGCCCCTGTTGCTGCAGCTCAGTTACTGTGTAGTGAGTTTCTTTGTCAGAAGTAACGCTGTGTGGAATACCACAATGGAGGGTAAAAGTTCTCTAAGCCCACAAGTGATAGTTTTGTTAGAAGA